TACAAAAAAGTAATCTGAATTTGTATTTGCCTGAACTATAATAAAGACTGGAAATGCTATAATAGATACCAATTAAGATAAAAAGCATATTAAGTATAGTTCTAAGAATTGGATCCTTTTCTTTTTGAAAATTTAAAAACAAACTGGTCATCCATAGGTAGAAGGGAGAAATGTAGAGGTATTTTGATTATTTACTCTTCTGCCAAAAATATCTGTTAACAGCAGAGAAAATGTTTCTATTTATAAATTTACTTTAATGAAACAAATTCCCAAATGACTGCAGTGAATGTAAGTTATTTTCTAAACACGTTTATCCAATTGCCAAAAGAAGCGGAGATCGTTTGTTATTAATTGGCACCGGATAATGCTCGAGTCACTTAGACGTTTTAACCCTGGTTTTAACATTTTTGTTTTGTTTTTAATTTTTATGGGTAGGCCTCTCTATTAATTGTATGTTCTGAAGATCGTATCAAGCCATTGTCAGTATTTGAGTTAACTGCGTACATCGTATCAAATGTGTCTGGCCAAGTACGATCCTGGTAGATTTTTAGTTCTTCTTGACTTTAGCCACAGGGTATTATAAGATTGAATCAAATGACTGTATAATCGGTTCAATGAAAACAAACGCTTTTCTTTAGTTTTTGACGTTTAGTCTTTTTCAGAAAAAAATGATGTTTATAATATAACAAATGACGAATGACGCAACCTTCGTTTAACTATACGCTAAACATAACTTGGCGTTAACGCGGGAATAAAAACTTTAACAAATAAATACAGAATCTTTCATGAACATAAGTACAACAATATACAATTAACTACACATAGAATATGGGTCTGCATATGTTATACAAAAATTCTCATAATTAATAATTATAAAAACCCTTGATATGAGAAAATTACATACTACATGTATATGTATATTTTTATATAGGCTCATCAGTAGCAGGTGGCTTTTGGATGTCAGGGGTACACTGTGATGCATTGTAAGCCGTTGGAGGTGATATTGGCAAATTAGTAGCAGGTAGTACAGGTAGTACTTAATTACTGTCTGACAAGCCATCTGATATATTAGTACATGGATGTGGTATACGAGGATTGATCAAAAAGTTGTAGGCCCGATGTACTTCCGGTAGTCAGAGAACCCAACTAATGGTCTTACTTTTCAATATAACCGCCCTCTACATCAATGCACTTTGCCCACCTGTGCTCCAACATGTTTAACCCTTCAAAATAGAACCCTTTATTTTGAACTCGAAGAACTCATTGACCGCCTCCATGACACCTTAGTTGCTCCCAAAACGTCTACCACAAAGCTAGGTTTTCAGTTTCGGAAACAGGTAGAAGTTAGAGGGGGCCAAGTCCGGAGACTATTGGGGGATGGGGAAGAATTTCAAAGCCGCAGTCAGTTGAAGCAGCCATCGCAACTTGGGATGTGTGAGCTGGCGCATTGTCGTGCAGGAGCAAAACGCATTGAGTAAGTTTGCCATTCCTTTTACGCGCGATTTCTTGACGCAGACGTCTCAATTCGTCTGCATAGTACGTACCGTGTATGGTACGATCTTGCTCAAGATAGTCAATCATGACAATGCCCTGACCATTCCAAAAATTGAATCCATCAGCTTCCCTGCTGATGGCACCCTCTTGAATTTCTTCGGAGGGGGTGAGCCATGGTGCTATCACTGCATGGTCTGTTGTTTTTTTTATATTCTGGATCGAAATGATGGACCCATGTTTCATCCTGAGTTACGATCCGGTAGATAAAATCAGGTTCATCCTCGTAGCGAGACATAAGATATCTTGAAATGTCAAGTCTGGCCCATTTCTGTTCGTCAATCAACTGTCTGGGGACCCACCTAGCGGAAACCTTTGACATGCCATAGACATCAGTCAGAATTGCCTGAACTGAACCAAAGCTAGCATATAATCACTTCCCTAGCAATGCTTCGCGGGTCTCGCCTTCTGTCGCACATTACCAGATCGTGCACAGCTTCGGCAGTACTTGTCAGTACGTGACCAAAGTATTTCACTTCCTGAGAGCCGATTACACATTTGTCTGTGTTAAACCTAAACCTATCGGTCCAAAACACGTGTCAGGTTTGTATCTTGCTCTTCGATAGTGTCCGTCCGTACACAAGAAGATCGTCTACTATTGACGTCACGCCCGTCACGTCCTCGAACGATTCGTCGATTTGTTGACAAAATATGTCTTGCGAACTTTTTATTTCCATAGGAAGCCGCAAATATCGGTATCTACCGAAGGGACTATTAAATGTCGTCAAATATGAGGATTCGTCCGTCAATTTTATCAACCAATAAGCTTTCGTTGCGTCCAATACACTGAAGTAATTAGCACCTGTAAATTGGTTTGTCACGTCTTCTATAGTCCTCACAGGGTAATGCAGTCTCATAATATTGTCATTTAGAGCTTTAGGGTCTAAGCACACCCTCAGCTTTCCAGTTCTTGTTTTTTCCACACAGACTAATGAATTGACCCAGTCTGTCGGTCTAGTAACCTTTTGGATAATACCTTTATCCTCCATAGATTTCAATTCGTTTTTAAACGGCCCTGTAAAGCTACAGGTACACGCCTGGATGGACATATTACAGGTATACCTTTTGGTTTTAGACACACCCCTCTATTGATCAAAGTGTGTTTATGTTACTTAATATGTATAAAACAGCAAGTTACTCGGTCAGTAATCTTCATTAAGATATCGTTATCGACGTATTGTCTTTAAATGTCAGTGTTGTTGCTACAAGTATATCGGACCGAGAACTTTTTGATCATACCTCGTAAGTGTATCAACAGAAGAATGTACCTGGAAGATTGCGATGCTTGGACAGAGTTTTAACTAGTGTCGAAAGAACACCAGACTCACCTAGTAGAAACAAACCAGAACCACGAAACCCTCACCCAACAATATCAGTAACTGTTGTTTTTTCTTTCATCCATGCATTTTTGAAGACATAATTTTTTATTTGTAACAAAATGACCAATATTTCAAAATTTAAATTCCGTGGCTGTTTGCTTCCAATGCTTCAAATCGCAAGTCTGTAGAAGTTGAGAGGCATATCATAGTAATCAACACAGCACATTATCATGTGTATAAATTACTGTCAGGAAGGTTCAAATGCGTATAAAGCCCGTCAACGAAAAGAACAATAGGTTTCTTAACTCCCTGAGACTAAATAGCTGACACGAAAGTGTATTAAATCCACGTATAAACAACTCAGAGTTCAAGGAAACTTTCAAGAGGATTTTGATGAGACCTTTAACACGGAAAAATCATCGAAGGAGGATAATGTCCAGTTGCACGCCAGCAGTGATTTGTGTTTTATCGGACGACATAAAGTTATCCACATTAGTAAAATCATCTTGTGCTACGAATGTGCTAAAACTAGGACATAGTGAAAAACCAAGATCATTGTATATCCTAGCAGGGTCATTAAAGAGTGAATTGTCCTCTACCTCGTCAGAAATATATGCCCTTTACACAGTAAACCAGTTCTGAACCTTAAATGGAGTAATTACGATCTTTTCAAAATTGTTGTGGCGTGCTCTCTGTCGTTAATCCACAAATGCATACCACCACTCTTTACATTGTCTGTTATCGGTAAAGGGATTTCATAATCCATTATTTTTTTAACCATGCCCAGCAATTCATTTGTGGTTCGTCCAAAGCCAAAACGACCAATGTGTTTTGTCAACACTTTTGAGTTCCTCAGCTGCAGTAAGAATAGTTCTCAATATTGGAGCTAACGAAGTTCTTTTGCTGACTTTGTCAAACAAAGTCGATCGGCTGACATCATACCCTCTGACTTGCTGCTTCCTGAAGTGACATTGAACTCGACTGGACTGCCGCAACAGTGTTGTTCATGTTCATGTTGTTCAAACTGATCGTAGGTTCTCTTGCGAAGTATCGCGATATTCGCTACGCTGCTAAAGTAACGTACCAATGATCGGAAAAACATGGAATTTTTTAAACTTCAGTGTTATTTGTGCTGCGTGGCGGCTGTAAAAAGTCTCTCCGTACATTTAATCAAAGATGTTATATTTCCGATTCTTGAAGATCGTTCAGCACGACATAATTATTGTGTATACATGTTATATGGTATTTTTATTTTCTTCTATTTGGCTTTTTTCAACGTGAGTTGTTCCAGTATTCCTACTTGAATACTGTATAATGACCCTAATAAATGTTACCTGCTTTTTAAACTGTCTTTTAACGTCTCGTCTGTGATATGCAGGCTTCATAACTTCAGATCCCCTTTCAAAATTCCATTTTATTTCGTTCCACCCATTGTTTTCTCGTTTTGGGCACACGTATTCTTTTATTTGGGGACCATGCGCCGTTTCTCATGGAATGGCACTACTGCGTCTTATTGAAGATTCCATGATAACCGCCGTATGAACACATCTGCGGATGTTTCTAAATTCAAAATTTCACCATTTTCGTGTTTAAATGTTGAATTCTTCTTAAGCCGATGTTAGGGGCGTGGACGGTAACTCGCACTTTTAAGTACCGTCATCAAACCGAACCTGCAGCGTTTCAATTTTGCCGTGTGGAGATTTCTTTATTAGGGATTCTGTTTTTTTTCTCTATTTGATATGTAAACTTCAAATCAAATGGTAAATTGAAGTAGCAAAGAATTTTGTTCGATACATGTATAAATATTTTCTTATATTTAATCAGTTTACTATTTACATTTTCGCAAAATGTTATTATCTACAAATGCTACCTGAAAGTTGTATTTATGACCTTCAAAATTGTAATGGGAAACTTACTGGCTGTGTACCAATATTTGATAAAGATATAACGTTAATTCATGGAAATCGAATATGACATTTATATGTATACCTTCCTGGTTGATTTAAAGTGTCTTAGTGAAGCGAAACTGCAAATGTAAGAGGGAAATTTGTCATGGTACGTATTTTCTTTTTCATAATGTTAACAAACTATATCATAAGTCTATTGTGTGACTAATTATCTAACTTATCAGTTGCTATTTACAAAGTGATACATGGTAGTTATAATAACATGTAGATTTTGAAACCTCTTTTTGATCGGTAAATCTTATTTACAAATTCTAGCTGATTGAGGGATTTCTGACATTTTAGGATTAAATGTAATATTGGCTGTGCACTAAGATATCATAAGGTAAATTCATGGAAAATGAATATGACAATTATCTTCCTGGTTGATTGAAAGAGAAAGTGCAAATAATGTCATTTGACATGGTATGTATTTTCTTACAAAATTAACATCTAATGTTATTATTGATAAATATTTTGACATTTTCCGGACTTTGAATACGAACATATATCGAAACAATTACATTGATTACCATGTCAGCAAGGTTTAATATTTTCTTGTATGAATTATGGTTTGATTTTCTGTTTCTTCGTGATTGGTTTAAACATATTTATATCAGCTAGTTTTTGCAACTTATATTATCACGTTCGATTCCGCTTCCTGGAACCAACCAGAACTGGTGTCATATGGTTGTGACCCGATTAGGGCTCAAACCCATGATCCCAGGGTTGAAATGCAGACACATTATCCACTAGGCCATCGCCCCCTTCTTCGGGATAATTTACTCGGTATTCTCTCCTATTTAGGTTGTTTAATAATTTCTACACCCAATTTAAGCTGATTTACTTATAAGTTTTACGGCATACGGTATCTTAACAAGAATACATATTTCAACATAATATAATACTGTTTAAAATCTGCTATGACCATTTCCCCTGTTTTCTTTAGGCTGCAAGGGACTTGCTCGTCGGGGCAATAGATTTTGGTACAACTTATTCTGGCTGGGCTTTCTCATTCCTGCATGATTTTCAAACGGATCCTATTAAAGCGTCTGTCAAGCAATGGCACTCAGGATCTGGAACTCTAGTAACAGAAAAAGCACCCACATGCTTGTTGATAAAGTCAGATGGAAAGACTCTTGAAGCTTTTGGATATGATGCTGAAAACCAATACAGGGAACTTGCAGACAATGAAATGCACGAAGAGTATTATTACTTCAGAAGATTTAAAATGGCACTTAATAAAAAGCTTGGTGAGGTAGGTAATTGTCACACTCTGCTGGTTTAATGTGACTTGCTTAAATTCCCCTCTGCTAAAGGTATCCATAACTTTTCATTTCGGTTTTTTATGTACATGTAACAAAAAGAGAATTAACTTTCAAGACACATTATTGCGTAAATTCAGTTGTTTTAAAGAATTTACTTGCACAATTTCACGTTCTATCTCTTGTGTATTATGATAATAATTTTGAACAAATGTCAGGGGAAAAACAGACATCAGTTGTTTCTATTTGTAATAAAAATGTAATAAGAAAACAATATAAACTGTAGTAATAAAAAGCAGATTTAAGATTGTTAATTGATATTTTGAAAAATAGAGTTATATGTTACAGAAACTGGACCGTGGCATGACAATAGAAGATGAGATGGGAAAGTCGATGGTTGCCTTAAACGTTTTTGCCATGGCAATCGAATATCTAGTAGGGGATATGATGAAGAGTGTAAAAGATAAACTAACATCCGCTGTTGAGAAAGATGAAGTCCACTGGGTACTAACTGTCCCAGCAATATGGACAGATGCTGCCAAGCAATTTATGAGAGAGGCCGCGGTGCAGGTTATATTCGTTTTCTCTTTTATTTTGTATAAGTTTAATTTACTTTTACTTTATTCTCCCCTCTTTCAATTTAACATACAAAGTGGAGCCTTCCTTAAATGATACCTTCAGCTATTTTACTCACATGTCTGTGGTCATTTGACAATTGAATTTCAAACAATGAAAATCACTATGATGTTATCGTAGGACATTGGAAAGGGTGTAATGAAATACTTGAAGTATAAATTTTATTTTCTTTACATTTACCTTCTCCTTCTTCTGAGCATTTAAGCCAAGATGGCTTGTAAGCAGTATACAGTATTATCAAAGATAACTTCAGTAAATGTCACTTGTATTTAATATTTTACTTTGCCAGCTCCGGTCGAGTAAAGTTTTCTTACGTTGCTTCTCATAACAATGTTTATTGATTTTTTGCTCCTCATATATATCATATATAGTGATGTTAAGTAAAACTTGTGTTTACGGTGTCATAGAATTTACATTTGCAGTATTTTTTTAATCTTGTAGCCATAACTTATTATCTCGTGGCCATGATTTATTATCTTGAGGCCACAATTTATTTTGTAAGTTAAGTTGTTTAAAAGAGTTTACTTGCACAATTTTATGTTCTACGATGCTGTCCGGTAATCTTGTGCACCTAAGCACTTGTCGGCTAATTTACTACGATTCAAATAAATACAAAAAAAATCATAATTATTTTGCTTTTTGCAAAAATCTTAAAGACATATAATAACGCAAATATTTTTTGAAAAGATAACTCATTGAACTGCAGAGTGCAAAAATGTAAACACTTACCACCATGTTTAATCCCAACATTCAATTGTCCGGTGATCTTTCGCATGTGTTATGAATGACGTCACGGTAGCTCGCAAACTCGCACCGGTTACGCTACGGCTAGTCACTGCGAAGGAGATTGAGTAGCTCGTTTTAAAGTATGGTGTCCCAGTAAAACTATCAAATTTGTGAGTCCAATTAATGAAAAGTTAACTTAAACTGTTCAAACAAAGCTGTAACACAAACTTATTTACATCAAGGGTTTGTTATTTAACTGTTCACTACTACATCTGGGACACCTGAAATCATCACTACCAGTCAATGTCACAATTTTTGCATAGAATTTCAGATGCACCCCTTGACTACACACAGTGCAACACCCCCAGTTAACACATTTAATGCTCTTGTTTAGATTCAAAGCCTCTGGTTGGAATTTGCCACACACTGAACAACATTATGTATATATTCTGTATTTATTTCAATCACTGTCTTTTGTTTAGCTCTTTTTGCTTGACCTTTTCCTCGTTCTGAATTTAATTTTGGACCTTTCCCCTTTTTTTCTATCTTGTTAACTGTATCACTTTTGCCTTCATCACTGTTCATAAACTTGGCTGTCTTGTTTATAGAATTTGGAACACTTTTATCTATACTCTTGTTACTCTGTGGAAATTGAGGATTGAACACCTTTTTTCCATTTGCCTAACTTTTGTTTTTCCTTCTCAGTATTTTCCTTTTTCTTCTCTTTCTGTTTTTCTCTCTCTTTTTCCATTGCTTTCTTTTTCTCTTAGTAATTATCTTCTGTTATTGCAGCTCAGTATGGTGGCACAAAATAACTCCTTTTTATCACAAGTTCTACATTTTCTTTCTGGTGAATGAAGTCAGTAGATTTTTCTTGAAAAAGTATTTTCACTGTCCAATTGTCCTCTCGTTCTTTTCTTGTTTCTTTCATTTCATGTTTTTTTTCTTGTTAATAACAGGTGGTGTTACACAGGGGGCAGATGGGTCAAATGGAAATATGCCAGTCTCCCTATAACCTGACATTATTGTACTTACAGTCATAGAATTTTAATATTCAGTACCATTTATCTTACTTCACTATCACGCGGCTGGGATGACTGTGCAATAGCTTATGGCACTCTGTGCTGAGACTCCTTTTAAATGGACTGAATACTGAAAAAATCAAGTGGTTGTAGACAGTGACTGCTATGAGGGGGTAAAACAAACAAATGTATGTTATCCTCCCTTGCTGCTTCAATGATATCATGTGTAACATGGGTGCAATGTTCATCATAAAGAAGTATACAAGAGAGAGAAATAAGGATCCCAAAAGAAAGCCCAACATGGCAAAATTGAAAATGTTGCAGGCTCGGTTTGATTGAGCCTGTTCATGGACGGTACTGTCAAGTGCATATTACCGTCCACGCCCCCTAGCACTGGCTAAAGCAGAATTCAACATTTAACATGAACTGGTAAAATTTAGAATTTTGAAACATCCGCAGATGTGATCGTATGGCGGTTATCATGGAACCTTCAATGTGACACGTTAGTGCCATTCCATGGAAAGCGGCATATGATTCCCAAGTAAAAAATGCATGTGCTCTAAACGAGAAAACAATGGGCGGAACTAAATAAAATGGAATTTTTAAAGGGAATCTGAGGTTATGAAGCCTGCATATCACAGATATGACGTCAAAAACAAATTTAAAAAGCAGGCCACATATCCTATGGGTAATTCAACAGTATTCAAGTGAGGAATACTGGAACCAACCAACAAGAAAGATGCCGATAGATTAAATACCACAAGCACAACAATTATGTTGTGCTGAACGATCTTTGAGAATCGGAAATATAACATCCCTGATTGAATGTACGTGGCGACTTTTTACGGCTTCCACACGGCACAAACAACACTGATGTGTCGTTCACCCTTGAAGATAACATAAGGTGGAATGGTCTCGCCTAGAGCACTTACAGCAGCTATGACAGTAGTTGTTGCAGATTTACCAGATGTTACACAGTGAGGATTACTTCTTACTTTGGCAAGAATCTTTGGAGGACTGTGATCAACCGAAATACCTGTCTCATCCACATTCCAAATGAATTTAGGTTTCTCTTTAATATCATACTTGTCCAGTGTTCCACTAAGCTCATCAAAAATATCCCGCCAACATCTCCTTATTCACTGCATCATCTCTTGCCTTTTTTGGGGGGAGATGAGTCATTTTCAGATCAGGAAACCTTAAAACCAGTGTTTAGTAGGTTCATTGACCTTTCCAACAGCTTCACACATATTTTTAGCTATGTCGATTATTTGCCATCTGGTAAACCCATAACCAAGATGAGCCATTGTGACAAATGTTCTGCCAACATTTCCTCTTGAGCTGGTGTGAAAAATGTTGGACCTCCTCGCTTCACATCAACAGATTAACCTTTCGCCAGTCGCCAACGAAGAGTAGATTCTGGTAAGCCATGTATTCTTGCAGCCTTCCTAATTGCCATTCTTTTCTCTGTAACATCTTGGTAGGCCTCTTTCAACATAAGGTACCCATATTTAGGTTTGCTCGTAGATGCCATTCTATTACTCTGGAAAAGACATAAAAATAAAACTCATCTTACTTTTTAATTTTTTTTATGATTAAATTCATTGTTCTGTTTCAGTCATTCATTTTTTTTTCAAATTTTGTAAAAAATGACCATTTTACGCTTCCGTAGAAACAAAATTGAAAAGCGCGGGAAAGGCTTTCCATTTTGACAAGATGGCGGGAATCGGCAGAAATACAAATTTATTTGCAGAGGTAAAAAGGAAATTTACAACGTTTTATCGGTGCAATACTGTTTAAAAATGTGTGATATTGATTTTCATTCTTGCTGGACGTAAAATTTTGGAACTGGATGAATAGACAGGAAAATAATGGGAAAATAGGTCAGTGGGCGTGTTTATGAATAAATTAGGATGACGAAATAATATAAACAAACATGTTTGACAGATATTTTTTTAACTTTCTTACCTTGTTGTAGTTCAAAGTAAGTCCAAGTCACAAATTTTGGCTGAAAATTTCTAGGGACAGCATAAACAAACAACCAAACGAAACGAAATATACTTCCGTGCCGAGTGCGCGAGGTCACCGGCCGCGCAAGATGACCGGACATGACTGTATCTCTTGTGTATTATGATTATAATTTTTAACAAATCAGGGTAATAAAACAGATATCTTTTGACGTCATTTTCGGGCATCAGACATCATGTCCCCTTTTAAAATTCCATTTTATTTAGTTCCGCCCATTGTTTTATCGTTAAAGGTACACGCGTTTTTTTTTTAATTGGGGACTATACGCCGCTTTTAATGAAATGGCATGGTTGTTTCATCTTGAATGATAGTTAATACTGTTACACAGAAGCAGTGGACAGATTTGACTTTCAGTTCAAACCACCCAGGAAACTTTCTCTGTTATTTTATTCTTCCCTGTATTTCCATAACTTGACCCCAGCAACACGCACACACACACACACACACACACACACACGCACGCACGCACGCACGCACGCGCGCACACTTCCCTGTGGATTTGAATCCCTTTAGAGACTTGTATGTAGATATTTTTATTAAAGATATATTACGATGTCGCACTGACAAATATTGAAGATATATTAAGATGTCGCACTGACAAATTTATACATGTTTCAAAGACATAGGTCGATTTTTAAAAAAAAAATCGACTCTGTTTGTTACTATTCCAAAAGCTTTTCCTTGGTATTCCAAAAGCTTTTCCTAGGAAAATATCATTTTTTCACTATAACTTCTTTATTTCTTAAGGTATCTACCTCAAATATATATTTCTTATCATCACCCACATAATATGTGACAAGATTCATAACTCAAACACACATTTTCTTTAGAATTATCACCCTTGAACTTACAATTTATGTTGTAAATGATTTCTTTTCACTATAACATCTTCATTTCTTAAGGTTTCTAATGTCAAGCTTCAAAATTTCATACTAATTATCACTCACATCATGTGCCACAAGATTCATAACTTTAGCATGAATATTGCAGGAATTATTCCATGTTGAACTTTGAATTATTTCAATTGTTACATTTTTGCTCTAATCTTTTTTAAAGGATTTATTTTAAACTTTATTTTTTTTGTTTTATATTAAGTTAAAATAACTCTTATATTATGATAATGATGATGATGATGATGATGATGATGATGATGATGATGATGATGATGATAATAATAATAATAATATGACAAGGTTAATAAATCTAGCGTCAATATTTTCTGAATTATCTTCTCCTTAAAGTTAGAATTTTCCTTATTATTTTCTCATTATTTATTGCTTTAAAGAGGGAAAATATGTTATAAAGACTCGTCCGTTTCAGTTTTTTTGTTTAGATTCATATTAGACAAATAAAAAGCATGTCTAGCGTTTGCGAATATACTTCTTTCAGAACAGGTGCATTTGATATTATATCAAATTATAAGGGGATGTTGTACAAATATGATTGGAAAATGATTTATGATTCAAAATGTGTGTTGAAGTTCAACTGAATCTCAACCACAAGAATATGGGTACAAGTGCGGGGTACTTTTTATAAATTTATGCAAATAGAAGTGATTTGGGTGGGGGTGGTTACATATATTCGCCAAATAAAGCTCAACTTTTATGTCTGCATATTTCTTTCCAGGCTGGACTTGCAACAAACAAATTGACGATTGCACTTGAACCAGAAGCAGCATCGATATTCTGCCGCCACTTGTCGGTTCACACAACCATTTCTGGTGGAAACACTTCAATAGCGAAGATGCCTGTTGGTACTAGATACATGGTTCTCGATGCAGGAGGTATGGTACATTTTTATTCATCTGAGTCACGACCATGTTTTAGCATATGATACCAGTGCTTCTTATTTCTATAAAAACGGATCCGAGAGGGATTAAAATATTATAAAGACTTTACACGTATTTATTGTAGGTGGATCATGTAAAATACAAAAATGTATGCCAAGATATTGTGAAAAACGAAAACGATCAATGGATCATTGTATTTCGCTTATAAATTTACAAATAATCGGAAAATACTTGATCATTCCGAGAGCTGACTAAGTTCTAGGTTTAATGAGGGCCATTCTGTCGTAAAGCCACAAAAAACAGCTTTCGCTGTCGAGTACTGATCAATGCTCTTAAAGGGTTAATTTTGAAGCGCAAAGTGGTGATAATTTAACGTCATGCAATTATATGTTATCATTAAAATGTATGCATTCATTTCTTATTGAAAACATGAAAATGTAAATACGGTAATATCTTTACAAAAATGCTTTTTGGAACCTACAATTTTGATAAATCTTCATTTGAGAATTATATTTATGATATAAAACCATAAAAATTGAGTTACAAGATATATAACTGGTTGTAAGATATTAGATTTAACCACTTTATTTTTCTGTTTTTAAGTTTCCTTTTAATGTATCGATGTTTATTTTCAGGTGGAACAATAGACATAACGGTACACGAGGTTGTCAGTGAGAACAGCGTTAAAGAGATCGAATCAGCAAGTGGTGGTGGGTGGGGAGGTATCCTTGTTGACAAAGCTTTCGAAAACCTGCTTATTGATCTGGCTGGGCCAGAGGTTTATAATACCTTTAAACGAACGGAAACGGAAGACTGGCTTGACATTTGGCGTGATTTTGAAGTAAAAAAACGATTAGTTGCACCCAATAAAACTGCTCGTATTAATATGAAATTCCCACTATCGTTCGGACGCACCTATGAAAGATGCACTAAAGGGAAACTGCTTGATGCTATTGAAGCTTCAAAATACGCCGATGACATTCAGTTTGGTGAAGACAAAATCAGATTTTCTGCCAGTCTGTTCAAGAGTCTTTTCGAATGTTCCATTAACAAAGTCATTAGCCATGTGTCAACTTTACTTCGAGATGAAAACGTAAGCAAGATAAAAACAATATTGATGGTAGGCGGTTATTCAGAGTCTACCTTGCTTCAACACTCAATAAGGAGCGAGTTCTCCGACATAAATGTTGTGATACCAATTGGTGCATCATCTACCATTCTTAGAGGAGCTTTAGTGTATGGACATAGTCCGGTATCCATACGGGAAAGAGTGTTGAAGTACACATATGGTGTTGAAACAACTGACCCATTCATAGAAGGGACTGACCCCGAACATTTAAAGGTAAAAACAGCAACTGGTGTACGATGTAGAGTTTTCAGCAAACATGTTGAAAAAGGACAAGTCGTCAAATGTAATGAACCGCAAGTTGAAAAGCCTTATGTAACACAACACAAATTCCAAAGTAACGTAGCTTTTGACATTTTTGCCACAGAACAATGTAACCCAAAATATACGACTGAATGTTCGCTTATTGGAAACTTGAAATTTCATCTTCCGGACCCAGAGGAGCAGCCTGGAAGAGAAATCATCGTGTCAATGACGTTAAGTGGTACTGAGATTATCGTAAAAGCAGTGGATAAGAAAACAGGCAAGGACACGAGCGTTTTTATCAACTTCCTTGGATAAATTCAATGCGGATCTGCATGTTGTAATGAGATGTACCGTGTGTAATACTTTAAGAGAATTAATTCTTTTTTCTGCTTAATGTGACAAAAAAAATTACAAAGAAGTAAGCGAATATCAATTTTAGAAATAAGGAAAATTTGTTGGTAATTTATGAGGAATGGTCAAAATACACATATTTATAAAATAATCTTCGCAAATAAATATAACAAGGCTTAATTGTAATAAATTAAAAATATAGTTTAAATGTGATTAAAAACTAAAATGTTGCTAATTGTTAGAAATAATTGTTATTGCACACATACAGATCAAAACGTGCTAAATAACTAATACTAAATATAAGGGCGAATTACTGGTGTGCATACGAAATTGAAGAGTGTGCGTAGGCGCCTTAAAATTATGATAAATAATAATAGATAGAGACTATAGTTAGCAATTTCACTAAACTTAAAGAATCAATGAAAACGATGTGCTATAAAATGATTATAAATCACAGATATAGAGAAGTTCACTTAAAACGAAAAACAAGATAAAATTTGGCAAGGGAAGCATTCTCAAATGCTTAAAATCAGGTTAACACCCAAAATATTTGCTTGAGAAAGATATTGTTATTTTAATAAAAAGATTAACAAACACATAATTTGTTTTAAAGTATACAGGTTTGAAAAATCGCAGTAAAATCGAACCGAGTTCTATTTGTCAAATCCCAAGAAAATAAACATGCAGCCAGTAGATATGCAGATTGGTATTCTGAGGGTCACGTGTTTGAGTTTTGGTCAGACCTCACATTTTTCTCATCCTACGTTACAAGCAAATTTAAACTTTCAGTAACTTTGTCAGATCCGGGTGATATCACAGACATTAAATCAATTCTGGAATTGACATATTGACTTTCTCCCATGCTACTGGTCAAAATCAAACTTATTTGGCGGCAAATAACAAAATATCAATAACAATCATATTACATTGTTTCGTCTTTAAACTCCATATACCAGGTTTTGAATAAGTAGCCATTCTCGACAATTGCTACAAAGCTTCATAATTCTCATTTATTAACTGTTTATCAAATAACACTCGTGTATTATTTATTCAGAAATTGTTTCCCAATATTAATGTTATGATTAATTTCATACATATGGACTATAATAAATTAATAAATCACAGCGATATGAGATTTTGTGTTATGTTGTATCAACTGTTTATCGTTTAAATATGACGGAAGCTCGTTAGCACTTTCCGTCACAAGTAGCTAAAATATGGATATCTAGTCTATCCGAAACACGTCGGCACTTCTCGTATGGCCCCGTACGTAGAACGCGAATACACAAGGTAATATACGTTCTCATACAACTTCTGCAAACTTACTACTTAGCCTATGCCTGATTTAGAACGGAAATTGACTGTTATTAATTAAAAAATATGATGATTTGATTTTCTTTGGACCGGGCGGTTAAGGATAACCTACGAAAGTGCAAGCACTTATTTCCAGTAGGGTCCTTACCTAAGCAGACTTTAGAGACAGCTTAAGACATACAAGGGAATCCGGGAACTAGTCCCTAGCTCTTATCGAACAGATTCCTTGGTTCTTTTACATGCCCAGTGTATAGCACTGATACATGCGAGGATGACCTGGATTTCTTACCAGTACACCTCTAGTTAGGTGGGAAACACTGAAAGTTTCTGAAAAATTCCAAGAGTGTTACCAAGGGTCGAACCCGGAACCTCAGGAGTGACAGTCAGTGGTCTAACCAACTGAGCTAACACGCCACCTATTCAATGTTACTCTTTCTGTTTAAAAGAAACATATCTCTATCACTATTGCCACAAAGGTGGTACATGGAAGCCGTTATTTTCCCATGTGACTGAAATAAGTTCCACTATGTCGCCTTTTTATATGAGAAGTCTATAGCGAAACATAATAGTCGAGATCAGATTGACAATCGCGACTGAGGTGTGATTGCTCTCCTGTTAGTTTACAATCGCGACTTTTTTACCCTTTCTTTTACACCCATACTAAACGCTGGTTCTTTAACATTTTGGGCGACCTTTTAAAATAAGAGCGCCTTCAAAACTTCCGTCGTAAAGCGTCCTCGAGGAAAATAACGCTGTAAAAGGTTAACACAGTTTCTAAAAATATCCGGTTTAAAAGAACATGCTTGCTTTCTAAAAATCAAGAATGCTTAGTCACGTAGAACAATTTTCTCATCATTTTGGATGCAATTTTAATAAGAAATACCTCAATGCATATAATATTGCTAGAACTTTAACCAAATATCAACTCGAGCATTTTCTTTCACAAGGAGACACACCTTAAGTGGTTTCTCTTCCATAAAGTTAATGTTAGCCTTCTTAATCGTGCATGTAGCATTGTGCCAACATCACTTCTGGCTCATCACAAAAAATAAATCTAAGAGCTTTGTTAACAATAAATTACTTACATTTATATAAATGCGATCGAGTCATCGACAAGGTGCTGACGCCAGAGGCTTCGCAAATGTGATTGAGCCAATATTGAATAATAATAATAAAATTCATGAATTCAAAATTATATTGAGTTGATAGACGTTCTTTCATGAAACATACTAGTATTTAATTCCTCATGGCACGAAGTACATTTCGCCAAAGCAATGCAACACTATTTAAAAGTTACTGTTTGAATCAAAGAATGAATCTTCGAGGTGCCACACTGGCGTAAACCAATAAAAAAATGCGCATTGAAAGACCGAGTTCCAAACTAGAACTCCGCGAGTCGGATGTGTCGCCTTGTGAACAATATCATAATAGTAAGAAATGGCCAGGAAAAATGAAATATGAAAATTAACAAAGGTCAATAACTCAAAAAATAAGAAATGCAGAGCAGCAGTTTCTGTGCAATGCACGTCTTATCAATAAGATCTATCATCCTATGAAGTTTCAAGTCTAATTCATGAGAAATGGCCTGGACAAAAATAAAGTATGAAAATAAATAAAGGGTAATAACTCTAAAATAAGGAGTGCAGAGTACCGGGTCTTGTACACTGCACTTTTCCTTAATGAGATCTATCATCCTATGAAGTTTTAAGACCATAGCATTTATACTTTAGGAGAAGTGGCCTGGAAAAAAATAAAGTATGAAAATTTAGAAAGGGTAATAATTCATTAAAGAAATACAGAGTACCGGTTCTTGTGAACAGCACTTCTTCTTAATGAGATCTATCATCCTATGAAGTTTCATGTCCATAGCTTTTTTTACTTTAGGAGAAATGGCCTTGACAAAAATAAAGTATGAAAATAAAGAAAGGACAATAACTCAAAAAATAAGAAATGAAGTGAACCGGTTCTTGTACATTGCACTTCTTCTTAAAGAGATCTATCATCCATTGAAGTTTTTGTTCATAGCTTTTATACTTTAGGAGAAATGACCTGGACAAAAATAAAATATGAAAATTAACAAAGGGCAATAACTCAAATAATAAGAAATGCAAAGTACCGGTTCTTGTGCACTGCAATTCTTCTAAATGAGATCTATAATCCTATGAAGTTGCAAGTCCATAGCTTTTATAGATTAGGAGAAATGACCCGGACAAAAATAAGGTTTGAAAATTAACAAAGGGCAATAACTCAAAACTTAATAAAGTGCAGAGTACCAGTTCTTGTGCACTGCACTTCGTGTCATTATAAGTAGCATGCATCAATCCGACTTATAATGACTGACTTATGCTCCGGAGAAGCTTAAGGGGACGCCGACAACGACGAAGACGCCGATACCGCCGACAAAAGTAACCCCTATATGTCGCCTTTTTCAAAGCGACACAAAAAGGAACTCGAATTATCTAGATCAAATACATTATCTTTTGCAAATTTGATAGTCTACATCAACGAAAACATTAAAAGAACATTTTTCACTTAAAGTTCATATGACGTAAAATCTATAACATAGAGTACACACTTGGGAGTAACACATAGTTAACCTACATATTGAACTAGAGATATTAGAACAAAACTAATTTGTTATAAAACTCACAAATAGAACAATAGTAAAATAATATGATTGAATAAATTTTAATTTAGACACCAAAAAGTACAAAGCTATACTCAAATCTAGTTAAACTCCTTCTAGCTAGTTAACATACACCCCAGGTTTCGGACGAAGTAGTTATTATTAACAATGATGTGTAAAATTTATGTAAAGAATAACTGTTAATTCTATATTATAAGCTCATTTATACATATACATAAAGATTTAGTACATATAAAAAACAAGGCATATATAGTCATTCTTAAAGGAATTAAGTACTAAAGATTGTCGTTCATTGAACGCCGCCTTTTCTTGATGATCTTGTTTATCATATTTTATATATGTGCTGCAGATATACCTCCCTTTTCTATTGCACACCACATACGTATCATACAAGTCTGTACATAATACTAATTATTGTCTACTTCTACTTACAAGCATTTACATTGTATTTATGTTACAGCTCAAATACTATATAGATGGTAAATGCATGCCAGACAACACAGAGTTAACATCACTCAGATTTGGTAAATATGTGCATAAATGTTGTAATCAAACATATAAGAGTATAATAAAGGAAATAATATAGCTTAACTAATTTTTAATATTAAGAAAGCTACGAAAGTAATACACTGTATTTATAATAAACATGTAATCTGACATTTATAAACAATAACAGTGTAACATATCACGCACATAAAAAATCAATACTTAATAAAACTAAAATAAGGTGCTTTTCATATCTCCTACAAATGTATAATTTGATTACAAAATGGTAAGTAACAGGATAACATACAACCAATAGTTCGTATGATTTGAACTTTAACAGTATTGCAATTGATTTTTCGTAAGCTAAAGATGAGAAATTCAAAAGGGGGAAAACAACGTTAAAGAAGACCTTGCATTTCAATTCGGGTTTTGTAATCAGATGGAAAAGCAACTGCAGTTAGAACACGATAAATTTATGTTTACTTTAAAATAACTAAATAGTAGAACAAACTCACGTTACTTTAATTGGATGACATTAACCTTATATTGATCGTTGAAATTTCTAGAATAGAAAAAAAACAATCTAAAGACAGAAAGTGTATGATTAAAGTAAGTACTCAATAGATGATTAAAGTTATTACTCTTATGCTATTATTCCCTTTTTATTAACAACAAAAAAGTGTTATTACTTTTAGCAAAATAATGCGCATTAAGTTAAAATGTCTTTCTTTACCATCAATAAATAGTACATAATAAATCGTCCGACATCGGTAAGCTGCTATACTACAAAAAACCGCTCATTTACTGAAAAGTGTTCGCTCTTTCCTCTTTCTTCCCCACCATCCTCCTATTGAGACAATTCATGTGACACATGGGTCATACTGAATGTTTATTTGTTTCTTCACGTTAATTAAAAGGCATATTATGTTACATTTAGCAAATATATATCCGAGCATTTATGTCACATTTTGTTTGACCAATTTTATATCACTGTTCTGGACTTAGCTTTGTCCTCCTTTGTCACATTCTTGTTTGATACGTTGTTTATTAATACTTTTGATAACCATTCATAAAACGTCTTACATAGAGCTGTAAACTTCCAGACATGTTCAAACCTTACAATGTGTTATTTTCACGTCGACATTAATAAACTTGATCCCTGGGGAAGAGAAAATATAACAAATTTTATGTTTTTATCAACCGTTCACAAGGCTTACACATCATTTTCTCACAACGTAAGCTTTTGTGCAAAACAAACGGCCGGAACAGTCGATGATCAATGGTTCTAAAGAATGAGAATATAATCTTATTGATTTACACATTAATGTTAATGTTTACAAATACATTTGAATGAATCATTGCAAACATCTACATGCATGTCCATGTGCTGAATTTTAATAATTGTGCACATTGTGTTTACAAAAAGCAATACCAGTATTAACACGAACTTTTACCTTAATGTATTTTTACTTTCATACACCAAATATGGTTATTTTTATTTCTAAACGTGATGTTATTTACATACAATGTATGACTTAAAAATAAAATTTCGCACGGTCTGTTGTCAAGTCAAAGTGCAGCACTTTTAACATTGTAAGTGCTCTCAAAAACTACTCTATCCCAGAAGATTAACAAAAACGCATGTGTCTTCTCCGGTTTTCTCATCGACAGCTTTGACGACAATTTCAGTTCCACTGAATGTCATGGAGACGACAACTCGTCTGCCAGGGAGTTCGTCTGGATCCTTTAACTGGAGTTCGATCTCTCCAATATATATACATTCATCTATATATCTTATATCAATGTCTTCAGAAGCGTAAATAGGGAATCGTATTTTCTTCTGAAACTTATGAGATGTTCTATAACCCTTTTCTACTTGTTTCTCATTACATTTCACGGTTTGACCTCTTTCTACGTGTTTGCTAAATGTGCGGCATCTTTTGCCAGTAGCGGTAGTAGTTTGAAGATGCTCAGGATCAATTCCCTCTCTAAATTTGCTTGTAGTTCCAACTCCGTATGTATATTTCAAGACCCTCTCTCTAATAGATATCGGACTGTGCCCATAAACAAGAGCTCCTCTTAGAATAGTAGACGATGCACCGAGGGGTATTACAACGTCTATCCCTGGGAACGCTTCTCTTACTGCTTGTTGAAGCATAGGAGACTCAGAAAAACCGCCGACCATCAAAATGGATGTTATCTTCCTTACGTTTTCATCTCGAAGAAGGCTTGTGACATGCCCGATAGTTTTTCCTATAGAATGCTCGAAAAGGCTCTTGAAGAGACTGGCGGACATTTTCATCTTGTCTCCGCCAAACTCAATATCACTTGCATACTTTGAAGCTTCAATGGCATCCAATAGCTTTCCTTTAGTGACTCTTTCAAATGTGTTGCTGAACGAAAGAGGAAATTTCATATTTACACGAGCAGTCTTTTCCGGTGCAACAGCTCGCTTTTTCACTTCAAAATCTCGCCAGAGGTCAAGCCAGTCCTCTGTCTCTGTTCGTTTAAAAACGTCATAAACCTTTTGCCCAGCTAGGTCAATGAGAAGGTTTTCAAACGCTTTATCAACAAGCATTCCTCCCCATCCACCACCACTTGCGGACTGGATCTCTTTAACGCTGTTCTCACTGACAACCTCGTGTACCGTTATATCTATTGTTCCGCCTAAAAAGAGGAGAATGAATAAGAAAAAATAAGTCAGTAATATCTGTTGGAAACATTTTTTGAAATTACTCTACCAAATCAGAATTAGAAATACAAAACGTTTGCAAATTGTCAAAAAAAATATCATTAGTTTTTTTAAATTACAACCATCATCCTTATAGTATTTTTTTTTGATTCTTCAATAATTCATATGATGATTTTAATTACTTAAAACCAAATCATAAATATATGTTTTTGAAAATATGAAAATACGAAGAGTGCTCAAATATAAAAGCATCTAGAATGTTATATCATTCAACATTGCGAAAAACACGAGTAAATGAAGGTTGTCGGTTACATGTCACCCTATTCATTAAAATCTGTTTACGTTAACTGGGTTTATATCTCACTATACATGGTCTACCCTAATACTTTAATACAATAATGTTTAGTAGATCAGAGAATGCCATTAAATTACGGTCTTCAATTACGAATCGTTGTCTCCTTTGCAAAGATTGTAAAGACATTTTTTTTTAAATTTGTTCTGGCCAAAATGAAATGTCTTTTTTCTTCAGTTATTCGTTGGTTTGATAAATTCAAGTAAGCGTTGATTTCGGCTAAAGATGCACCTCATGGCCGTCAGCCTTAAACAGCAACGTCTGTCAAGAGGGTTGTTAAAGTGAAAGATATAGTACATAACGATGCAAGATACACTTAAAGGCAAAAAGCTAGTATCGCTGGGATATCATTCGGGGCAGCTGATACCATTTATCAAACGTGATTAGAAAATTATATAATGAGAATTATATGTGCTAGATGAATTCCCCATTTGCTGACGGATGTACAGAAAAGGATCGAATTCAATGCACTAAGTTGTTGCCAAAAGTATCAAAACTATAATGCACGGTCTTTTGCAAATGTCTCACTTGTAACGAAATATGGGTTCATTCTTATGAGCCAAACACCAAAACAAGATTTAGGCTTCAAAGTCTGGCAACAGACCATGCCTTGCAAAAGGGACCATCAGTAAAAAGAAGGTAGTGAATGTCATTTTCTTGACAACTAAAGGTCCTGCCATTCAGGTTGCTGTTTTTAAAGACGAATCTGTTCATGCAATATTTTGCAAGACAAAGGGTCATCGAAAATTAAACAAATACTTTCGAAAACCAGCAACAGGTTTGGCCAATGTTAGATTGCTGTATAATAATGTATCACCGCACAAGGCGTCTTTAGTGTAAGACATTCTGCAGAAAACAGTCGTTTTGCCCCCCCCCCCAATCCTCATTATTCGTCTGACCTTGCCCATTGTGACTTCTTTTTGTTTCCAAAGCTAAAAAATACATTTCAGACTAAACATTTCTTCAGTGCAAATACATCTGTTCTGCAATATTCCAGTGTTTTCATAGTATACCTAAAAGACTTCGAAAATGCCTTCAAAGCGGAGACTGAAACCTTGTATATTGTATTTCTGTTGGAGATGATTAAAACTTAAGTTAAACCTATGAAGAATAAAAATTTATTTAATTAGATGCATTTTTATTTGAACACTCCTCGTAAAGAAGAATAAAGGTAGATACATCATTATTAACCATTCAACTTGACACAAACGTGCTGGTTTTTTTTTAAACCTAAACGAGTTATGAAATATGAAAATAATGAGGTAATTAGACGGTTTTGCATATATGAAACATATAGCTTTTACAGCCCAAGTGAAACTGATTTCGCAATACAACCTAATTTTTCAAATTACAACTTTTGTCTTTTTTGTTTTCGATGTAAAATTAGTTATTAACGTTCCCTCATTACAAATGATTTAGGTTTTACGAATATTGTTGTTTGCCCAATAAACCCTCAGATCTCGTTTGTTTTATATATTAACTAGTTCGATTCCATTGCTTTTGTGTAAATTCTTTTAAACCTTAATATGTATTTTAACAAGTTTTATCAGTTATATGATAACATTGTTATATTATCATGCCAAGCTTGACAATTATACACATATAACGAAATATTAAAACATCAGTATTTTATTATTGTATGATATATTTGTTTTGTTGTCGGGAGTTATAATAATCAAGTAGGCTTCAAAAAATAGTGATATAACACAAGATGTAAATTAATTATCCTAAAATCCCTAACATGGAGACGCTGGCTAGACATGTTACTGAGCATGCGCAAAATGTATAAAATTTTAAACTAGCTAACAGTATATATTACTACATTTAACTGGAATTCGTCATGAAAGAATAAAGAATAAATGAGTGAGCAGTTTGACTTCTGTGAAAATGGTAAGCAATGATCATTATAAAAACATACAGTAAAAAAGTAAGTAATGGAACATAAATTTGGAATTATTAACATCGGCCAAGAATCATTGTTGATCTAGTTAAGGAATCATTGTACATGTAGTACAAACTGTGAATTTCATAAAACAAACTAGATAGAATAAAAATTCAGTGCAAAACACAAGATAAAAATCATTTATTGTAAATTGACGGGATCTGATGTTTCGATCAATATTAACATTAATTACCATACCTCCTGCATCGAGAACCATGTATCTAGTACCGACAGGCATCTTCGCTATTGAAGTGTTTCCACCAGAAATGGTTGTGTCCACCGATAGATGGCGGCAGAATATCGATGCTGCTTCTGGTTCAAGTGCAATCGTCAAGTTACTTGTTAAAAGGCCAGCCTTTAATGATATTTTGTTGTGTGTTATTTCAATAATATTCAAAATGATACTATCGATATATTTTATAATGCATTTAAATATAAATCACATAATCAAACAGCAAAAAGTGTAATTGAAAAGGAAAGGTAACAATTATACATTTGTTTACATTCGAGATTGTACGCATAACAAAAATTTTAATACGGTAGAGAAATATAACCTGTACAGCCGCTTCTCTCATAAATTGTTTGGCAGCATCTGTCCATATTGCTGGGACAGTAAGTATCCAGTGGACTTCATCTTTTCCAATAGCGGATGTTAGTTTATCTTTTACATTCTTCATCATATCCCCAACTAAGAATTCTATTGCCATGGCAAACACGTTTAACGCATTCATCGATTTTCCCATTTCATCTTCTATGGTCATTTTACGGTCCAGATTCTGGTGTATAAAAATGAAATCTCTTTAACATTGAATTTCCCTCAATAAGTCCGAAAACCATATGTGTGGGCCATATTCAGTGAACATAACATGTAACATTGTAACATAGTTGCAGTTCCACTCGCCTGTAGGCCTATAGTTCCAATGATTTAAATCATCGTTATTGTTCCAATATTAATATCTAATGTGAAGAATGAATTTAATGCTTTAATAAAGGCTGATGTATAGAAGATTATAGGGATCTTGTAAACACCGACTGTAGATACAGACCGGATTATCAAGCTCACGGCCGTAACGCCCTTTTCTTATAGTAGTATGAATTCACAAATCCATTCATAACGTCAAAATGACGTCATTCTGAGAACGTAATTCATTCATAAAAGGCACCCGAGAATGACGTCATTTAAAGCGCGCTTCTTTGTCTGTCATGGGGAGGGGAGAGGACCGGTGTAAACGTTAGATAATCCTGTCTGATATGCAAGAATCTGTTTTGGCACGTAAAATGTGTGTGTGATAACATCTGTATACTGATCCCATTTGCGAAAAATGTCATCAACTTTAAAAACATAAAACATTAAAACAACTTTTTGTTGAATTTTTGATTCAAAAACTCTAGTTTGATAGAAAATGGTTTGAATAAAAAGATTTACCCAAACAACAAAATCTTTAATTCAGTCAATGCTGTACATATAGTAATTGTACTGTTGTTTACGTTAACATAAAATAGGCAATTACTGCAACCTACTAATGAATACTGTAATCCGTTTGGACAATCGTGATTTTTTTTATTTAGTCTCACTGTCTGTACCAGCGATGCACGATGGTACGATGGTGAAAACGCGATAGCACGATGGAACGATGGTGAAAACACGATGGTACGATGATGAAAACGCGATGGTACGATGGTGAAATCGCGTTGGCGCGATAGCACGATGGTGAAACGCGATGTTACGTCGCGCTTTCACCATCGTACCATCGCGCTTTCACCATCGTACCATCGCGTTTTCATCATCGTATCATCGCGTTTTCACCATCTTGCCATCGCGCTTTCACCATCGCACGATCGCGTTTTCACTATCGCACCATTGCGTTTTCACCATCGTACCATCGCGTTTTCACCACCGTATCATCGCGTTTTCACCATCGTGCCATTGCGTTTGCTACATCTTACCATCGCGTTTTCACCATCGTGCCATCGTCTTCCGGTGGTCATGCGCAATGGTACATCATCAATGCATGCCTCCTTATTATTAAACCCGCACCCATTCTATTTTCGCATCTTTGAGATCTTAGTATTTTAAACATGGAAAATAACAAAGGGCAATCGCTCAAAAATTTAAGAAAATAAATTTGTCATCCTTGTGCACTGTAATTTCAAGTTGATATCTTCAATACAGCAAAAGAAAAAATGCAAACATATATTTAGCATATACATGTATAAGCATATATTAAATAGTTTTTGATCTATATACAGGATAATAACATATATGAAAAATTTAATATAAAGACAACAGGTTTTATTATATATAACTCAAATGAATTAATAAGTAAGTATTCTAAACTTGTTTTACTATCTGCCGTATCAGAATCTGAAATCTTTCTGTATGTGTACTGGTCATACTGACCGAAAGGCGATGGTACGATGGCGCGGTGGCACGATGGTGAAAAGATGATGGCACGATGGTGAAAACGCGATGTTAAGATGGTGGAAACGCGATGGCACGATGATAAAAAACGATGGTGTGATGGTACGATGGTGAGAGCGCGATGGCACGATGGTGAAAACGCGATGGTACGATGGTGAAAGCGCGATTGTACGCTGACGAAAAAGCGATGGCACGATGGTGAAAGCGCGATGGTACGATGGTGAAAACGCGATGGCTCGATGTTAAAAGCGCGATTGTATGATGTTGAAAAAACGATGGCGCGATGGTACGATGGTGAAAACGCGATATAACATCGCGTTTTCACCATCGTACCATCGTGACATCGCGATTTCACCATCGTACCATCGTGTTTGCACCATCGTACCATCGTGTTTTCATCATCGTGTCAACGAACCATCGCGTTTTCACCATCGTTCCATCGTGCAACGCCGGTAGGAACGAAATATAAAATCACGAGTGTCCAAACGGAACACCGCACTAGTTAATCTATAAAACATGAAAAGGAAGATTAAGAGTGAAATGCGACATTCAATGAACGCATAGTTATATCAAACTAAAGAACTTATTAGATTCTCAATCAATTACCTAGATGAGCTATCTTATGCTTGTTTTATGCTGACAACTGTTCAATTTATATGTTGAAGGACATGCATTTCAAATTTATCTGCAAAATTTGAGTTCATAAATTACTGAGGTTTATATTAAATTTGTGGATTGTGGTTTAATAATACTCTTATGGACACTGGACATTAATTATAAGACTTATGTATTACCTTTGGTACTAGAAAATCATGACCAATGCTTACCTCACCAAGTTTCTTGTTGAGTGCCATTTTAAATCTTCTAAAGTAATAATATTCTTTGTGGGCTCCTGTGTCGGTAAGTTCTCTGTATTGGTTTTCAGCATCATATCCAAAAGCTTCAAGTGTCTTTCCATCTGACTTTATCAACAAACACGTGGGTGCTTTTTCTGTTACCAGAATCCCAGACCCTGAGTGCCATTGTTTGACCGACGCTCTTGTCGGATCCGTCTGAAAATCATGCAGGAAGGAGAAAGCCCAGCCAGAATATGTTGTGCCGAAGTCTATTGCTCCGACGAGCAAGTCTCTTGTAGCCTTAGGGAAACAACATACAAAGATGTAAAAGAAATATCTAAGCCAACAAATTGTGTTGAAATATGTATTCTTGTTAAGATACAGTACACTTGTAAAGCTAATGTAAATCACCGAAATAAGACGTTGAAATCACGGAACAACTAAATATTTTAGGAAATGTGATAACCTTCAAGAGAATTAATGATCTCAATGATCCTGAAAAACACTAAAATCAATTCACGCATGTATGCAGTAATCCTTCCTTTAATACATGAAAAACAATGTTTTATTCAGATAGTCCAAAAACAGTCTAAGAATTAATTAAACATTAGGAAAAATTGCGGTGTTGTCTGTAGAAAACACACACCATGCCAAATGACCTTCCTTTTAAATAACCAGGAAGATAATTGTCAAATTCGTTTTCAATGAATTTACGCCATGAAATATTGGAGTACAGCCAATATTAGAATCATAAATCCCACAATCAGATAGAAAATGTCAATTTAGTTCCATTTTAAGAAATGTTTAATTTACGTGACATTATAACTACCAAATATCATTGTAAATAGGTATGGATAAGAGTTTTTATTAAGACGACCGTAGGAAGTCTTACCAAACTCTTACCCGTATAACTGCAAATCGGCTCTAACAACTCGATATCAGCAAAGGGGAGGAACTGTTACACAAGAGATGGAGCGCATATAATAACTTTTCAGGAGTTCTTGTGATAACTGTCACGAGGTTCGTCGGAAAACTTTTGTATTTAGTACAGAAACACTTGTCAAAAATGGTCATTTTCATCTAAAAAAATGAGTTGTAGGTGCTAAATTTAACGATTAAGTTTTACCTAACATCTTGCATTATGTGACTAATAGTAATTTATAGTCCATTTTTCAGCACCTCTTGTTTAAAATCTGGTAGTTTTGAATAAAATTATTTGCTAATTCGCACATATTGACCTGTTCATTTGTGAACAAAGTTATCATATGAACTCCATCCCTGGTGTAACAGTTCCTCTCACTTGATCAGAAATGTCTACTCTTTGATTAAGCGTCACATTGTTTTTCCCAGTCACGTACAAAACACACTTCCTTAGGTCTACATGTAGAAGAGGTCAATTACATAATCTGGCATGTAAAACGATGAGTTCTCGAGCCAAAAGACAAAATTACGCAAAAGGTGTAGAACTTATTTAAATGGTGGGCCATTTTCAGTTTGACTCCAATGATTATATTGATTATAAAAGACAGAATTCCAAAGAACACATTTTTCTTAGAGTTAAAAGGATATCAAAAAGTTAATGTGTACGAGCTCCACGTGTTATATCTATATAATAAATGTGAATGTATCCTCATATTGCTACAGTATTATCAGCCTCTTTAGAAACATTTGACCTCGACTATAATGAAAATCTGCCAATCACAAATATCAATATCAGCACTGGCCTCTTCATTAATAAAGCGGCTACACTAATCGCTACCGGGTTAAAGCCAATTTGCAATTATCAACTAATAAGTCAAAGAATTAATCAAACAAAAGAATTATGATATAGTTTTTAAAACGAAAATACATACCATCATAAATGATCCTCTTAGTCTCAAAGTCACTTTTAAACAACCAGGAAGGTAAATGTCATAAACGATTTCCATGAATGTACGTGTTCAAACAGTTTTTCTTTATCATATATTGGTAAACAGCCAGTATGTTTCACATTTGAATAGATAATTTTAAATATCATTTTACCACAATCAGGTTACATTTGTAGATAAAAGGTACTAATGCAAATGAGCCTTAATTAAACATTTACATTGGTAGATTGTTAACAAACGTCAAGTCTGATTATTTAAGAAGTCGGCTCTATCGGACAATCCATTACATCATAAATAAATAAGAATAGAAATGCGCGACTCGATAAGTGATTTATATATATATGAGCGGCCAAATTGGTAAAAGAAATAGAACCGACGATCAGATTGCCAAGAACAACATTGTTTTGACAGTCATGTCGAGTTCAATCTCACTTCGGGAAGCAGCAACGTATGAAGTACCCCAATCGACTTTGTTCGACAAAGTCAACAATAGTACTCCGTTAGCTCCATCATCGAGAACTTTAATTACTGCAGCTGAGAAACAAAAACTTGTTGAGCTGAAAACTTACACATGTTGACCAACATTCTTGTAAACTTTCAGGACTACAGGTCAATTCTTGGTGAGCTATGCATTAAAAAGTTGACAATTTACAACTTATGATAAGGAAGGGGCAGTAACTCTAACAAAACTTAAAAAATCCACACGCAAAACCTAAGATGTACAGCTTCACAGTGATGTTGATTATCAATCCAGTAAAGTTTCTTGATTTTAACTCAAGATCATACATCACAACATTTTGGAATGGTTTTTACTAAGTTAAGTGCAATTACTTTACAAATATACAATAAATCTACAATAAAACCCCAAGGTGTACAACTACAAAAGCTGATCAACATCTCCGTAAATTTTTATGACTCTAGGTCAAACACCTTTTGAGCTACACACGAGTTTTTACTTAATCAAGGGTTAATAATTCTAGAAATAATAAATAAATCCACAAGCCAAAACCCTAGTGCACAACCAACTGCACAAGCTGACCAACATTCCCATAAAATTCTTCACTCTAGGGCAAATACTTTTTGAGCTACCTGCGACAAAAATTGAAAATTGCTAAAATTTTTACCAAGTCAAGGTCAAGGAAAATCACCAGGTGCACAATTCTCTATGTTGGACAACATAACTGTTAAGTTTTTTGACTCTATGTCACATACTGAGCTACGCGCGACACAAGTTGAAAATTGCAAATTTTTACTAACTCAATGGCAATAACTCTACAAATATTGAAAATAAATCCACATGTAAACCTCTAGGTGCAAAACTACACATGCTGACCAATATTTCTCAATACTTTTTGAGCTACGTGCGACACAAATTGTAAAATGAAAATTTTTACTAAGTCAATGGCCATTAGGCCTACTCTGATAAAACAGAAAGTTAGACAAGTAAAACACCAGGTGCATGATCTTAGGTCAAATACTTTTTAAGCGAAGTGCGACGCAACATTAGAACGGACGGACGAACAATGGTAAATCTTAATCCCCCATAGAGAGTGCACAAAAATAGTGGATTCTCTTGAAAAGCGTAAATACCGGATCCCATCTTCTATTGATGATGACAGCGTAGATCTGTCAGACGCATAAGAGGATGAAGCTCTTGTATTGCACTAAATGTGTATATCCATGGGACGATAACTGTGGTGAAGACAGTGAACACGTAAGTTTACACCATCCAGTGCGAGGTTGTCAATAATAGCCGTGTTAAACACGTATAGTTAAAGACCAATGAGAATCAAGCTTACAAAAAGAATCGTTAAAGATAAAACGGAAAGAAAGTCGACAGGCTATCGTCATTAATTAAATATTTCATACATAACATATTAAAACAGTCCTTGTAAATCAAAGAACAAGAAAAAACATAATCTAGGTAAAGTATAACATTTTTTTCAAACATTTTCTGTGTTTTAATCATACAAAATAATAATCAGAGAAGTTGTTAGGAGTATGTTTGCAATACACATCACAATATTCAATTTAATCAGATTCATACATTTGATAAAAAAAAATAATATGACAGATTATTATGTTTATGTTTAAAAGACATCAATGTTGCAACCTGTAAAATATGGTACCAAACATTGATTACGAAGTAATTTATATCTTTTATAGTGAAAGTAACAGAAATTTACAGATGAGTTAAAGATGGAATTCATTTTCAATACCAAACATAATACATTGTCCACATAATCGGTTTCCTCTTTGAACTCCGTATGCCATGTTTTTATTAAGTAACCATTCTCAATAATTACTTCACAGCTTAAAACTCGTGTATTAGTTATTTAGATATTGTTTCCCAATATTTATGTTATGATTAATTTTATACATATTGACTATAACAAATTAATAAACCACAGCGATATGAGATTTTGTGTTATGTTGTATCAACTGTTTGTCGTTTAAACATGACGGAAGCTCGTCCGCACTTTCCGCCACAAGTACATAAAATATGGATATCTAGTCTATCCGGAACACGTCGGCTCTTCTCGTATGGACCCGTACATAGGACGCGAATACACAAGGCAATATACCTTCTCATACAACTTCTGCAAACTTACCACTTAGTCTATGCCTGATTTTGAACAAAAATTGACTGTTATTAATTTGAAAATATCAATGTTACTCTTTCTGCTTAAAAGAAACATATCTCTATCATTTCAAAGGTGGCACATGGAAGCTCCCAATTTACCATGTGACTGTAATTAGCGCCATATGTCGCATTTTTATATCAGAAGTCTATAGCGAAATATAATATGCAGTCGGTATGAAACTGACAATCGCAATTGTGGTGTGTTAGTTTACAATCGCAACTTTTTTACATCCCTACTAAACGCTGGCTCTTTCACAATTTGGTGACCTATTGAAATGACAGTCCTCGACACTTCCGTTGTTAAGTGTCCTCGAGGAAAACAAAGCTGGAAAAGGTAAACACAGTTCCTACAAATATCGTATTTAAAAGAACATGCTTGTTTTTAAAAAAATCAAGAATGCTTTGCCACGTAGAACATTGTTTTCCTTATCATTTTGGATGCATTTTTTTTATAAGAAATACTTCAATAATGTGATGTTGCTAGAACTTTAACCAAATGAAAAACTAGTGTTTAAATGATTTCAGCACGAAGTACATTTCACCAAAGCAATGCAACACTATTTAAAAGTTACTGTCAAAACAATGAATATTTAATCAAAAAAAATGAATCTACGACGTACCACACTGGCGAAAACCCAATAAAAGATTGAGCATCGAAAGACCAAGTTCCAAAGAAGCAACTCAAATAATCTTTGTCAAATACATTTTTTTGCAAATTAAACATTCTACACCAAGGGAAACATTAAAAGAACATTTTTCACTTGAAAGTCATTAAATTAGTGAGGAAGAAGTGATTGAAAATGGTACGTTTATACGTTTACAGATATAATTATGAACCTATCTCATATCAATGAATATAAATCGGCATAATACCACAATATAGACACTAACTGAATGGTTGTGTTGGCTGTGTCATATTTACGAAGGCTCTGTCACATCCTCGGAGGTTTTACCTTGGTGACCTTGACATTTGACCCCGTGACGTCTATGTAGGTATTTGCCATCTTAGCTATTGAAAATAGGGCTTAAAAATCATCAAAATGGTAGGAGCAATTGTTTCTGCTAGTGATACAAGCATGTTCGAATCTATGACAACCGCTTGAGATCATTCTATATGAAATCGTGTTACTTGATTTCTTTTTACTTAACTGCGCAAGAAAAAGAAGATATTTTCTTGTAGACAATGTAGGGGAAAATTTAGTTAGTAAATTACTGGAAGTGGATAAGTTAAAGCAAACAGTAGCATGTCAGCGATCGATAGCTGGAACTATAATACCTAGCCGTAGACAAATAGTGTGATAGTTAATTGCCTCATATAATTACTCCTATAACTCAAACGTTTCCATATTAAACTATCCCGAACCATATCACTGTTCATGCCCATTCTGAGGTAAAAACAAGAAATCAACGTCCAGTAGCAAAACGGTGTGGAGTAAAGTGGAAATATGGTATTCGGTGATATTTAGGGTAGACATAGCAGTCAGGGTTATTCTTTTCTTGTTCATGCTATGAGGTTATAGTATTTTTGTCTAACATTTAGCCTTGTGAACTAGAGATTAATAGAATCTATCATTGGGTTAGATAGAGGATAGGGAAATCCCAACCCGAGGGTGATCGGTTCCATCGGGAACGAGCCTTGGCGAGTTCCCGATGGAACCGATTGCCCGAGGGTTGGGATTTCCCTATCCTCTATCTAACCCAATGGTTGATTATTTTTCTCACTCACCTGAACACACAAATATCAGTGAATCTACTTGCTACGCCCATTACAACGTACCTAGTTTTGAAAAGGGGGCGGGGCTTAGGCGCCTGACTTTCTATGATTAAAAAGCATTATGTACGTCCGCAAAAAAATGTTCTGACCAAGTTTTTGTGTTACAGGTGCTTCAATTACTATAGATAATATAAATAAAATCCTGAAACAGTATTTTGTCTTGTATTTGATTTTTCCCTCAAATATATTATTCAATTATTAAAGCATTTTTGTAGCCGTAACTAGACTATGTAGTTGTAGGCCGTAGCATAGTATGTAGGATGCCGTTTCAGGTAACATTCTATTCAAATATCTATCTTTCTAACTGTGCACTTTACACCTTATTTTATTTTTATGCTAAATATTTGACTGTATTGACCAATCGCAATGTACAATATCGATGAGACTACCATGTTATCATTGAATTGTATATTCGATTGAGAAATACATTTGAATAATTGCAAAATATATATTGTTTTATATATATTTTCCAGGTAATTTTTATAGCATCGTGTTTGATATACATGTTTCTACAATACTGTATGTTAATATGTAAATCTGTTTCGTAAATAATGCTTTTGAAGATGTTTTTCTATGCGTCTTTGTGTAAACTATATACGTCGCCATATTTGTTCATTGTTTACATTGACAATATCGATGAGACTACCATGTTATCATTGAATTGTATATTCGATTGAGAAATACATTTGGATAATTGCAAAATATATATTGTTTTATATATATTTTCCAGTAAATACCCGCCGTCAGTCCAGCTTATAACCCTCACTCCTCAGTCGAAGCACTTATAAACCTCATCTACAGAATCATATGACATAGATATGAGACCCCTACTGTAACAATTGGCGCCCAACTTGAAGGAAGCTGGCAGAGGTACATCTGAGATGACAACTTTTTGAATGTATTGTATAAATGTAGTTCTCCATGGAAGTGCGGTTCCACGTACAACTCGCTATTTCGCCTGTGTAAACAGTGGACTTTGTTATTTGTGAGTATATGATCATATATATTTAAAGGCCTTTCAACGTATTCGGATTTAATGTGTGCACACGCTAGCTAGCAAGTATGGTTAACCAATCGTCAAACCCCGGGACAGGATCGTTTCACTAGAGAGCATCACCAGTACCCAAGGATTAGACGATGGATTTCATCATTTTGTCATTCTATGTGGCAAAACTGTATTATTAATTTCAAGGAGTTATAGTGTATAAACTCCAATTTACATTGTGTATATCACAGTGAAAGTTTTTGTACAGACTTATATAGTTATATTTTATATCTTGTCATTTTACTTTTCATGTATTTTCAATAATTCATATACTTTCACCTGACAGGTATTTGTTTACATAATAGTGTGTAAATCAACATTTCGTCCTACTTTTTAAACTCAGAATTTACACTGTCTGACCGTTCGTCTGGTATAGGTGTATGGGTCATTGATTTGTCCATTATTCATATACTATTGTATACATTGTACATTGTTGTAACCGGTTTTTTCTCACCTGATATTGATATATACGAGTCACCGTATATTTTCATCTTTACACTCCTCAACTTTTTATTACTCTCTTTCCTTCTATACAGAGAAGCGTAACAGTAGTGTTTGATAGCAAGTATAGTAGTTTAATAGGAAAATGACATACAAAAATCCCTGGCCTTATCAGATAGAACATATACACGGGAAACAATTGAAATCGTATACATAAAATGTATATTGTTTCTTTGTGTTTATAAATATACATGTACTTGAAAGTTTTCTTTTCTATATAGAATTGTAAAAATCTATATAAGAAAAAGAAATCTTTGATATCTTATATCAATTAAAGTTAATTGATATATATTTAAAAAAACGTAAAACGAGAAAACGAATTGTGTAGCTACACGCGGAAAACGTGCTGAATTCGGTGTTTTTGTTTATATTTTATAAAATTGCTTTATAAAATATATTTTCGGACTCGGAAATTTCGTTGATTTTTTTTTTAAGAAGAAGGAAATCTTTCAAAGGCTGGTAACATTTTGCAATAAATCGTTATTTCTGTTGTATTTTTCGACGATTTAACAGGTGTTATTGACCATGTCGTTTTCACTTTACATTTGATTGGGAAAAGCGGATTAGCCGTGTGGTCTACGACGTTTACTTGTGACACAGCTTGTCAAGAAAGTTGGTTGAGGTTCGAGCCGAAAACTCCTCTTGATTTTTTTTTGCTTGATATTTTTCTTTTATATCTATATTAGTTTGTGACTTAGAGATGAATTGTGAATAAGAATCAAAATAGTGAATTGAATGAATTCAGATTTGAATGTGACTTAGAGATAACTTGTGAATAAGAATCAACATAGTGAATTGAATGAAATCAATTGAGATTTGAATGTGACTTAGAGATAAATTGTGAAATAGTGATATTTGATGAAATCTTGGATGTAATGAAACATATGCTATATGAAAAGTGATTCTTAATTCAGCTATAACGTGGAAGTGAAACATAATATAAGTGATATAATTAAAAAGAGAATATACTGTTAAATATTAGAAACAATATACAACTGTTATTAAACAATGGCATCAGGTGGAATAAGTGAAAGGGAAATACGGTTGAGAAAAAGAGATTTAGAGAAAGAAATACGAGAGTTAAATTTTCAAAGAGAGCAGCTTTTAAGAGACCGCGGGACTCAAAGAGTTACAAATCGTGCTTTCAATGATCAAGATAGACTAGTTGCTTTGGGAAGGTCTAATGAAATAGATGAAATTGAGACACATGATAGAATAGAACCGGCAGGAAATAGTGTTAATATGGTGGATAATACAAAGAATGAAGATAATTTCAGCAACATTTGTAGATTGAGAAATAGTGACATTGGAGCTTCATACAGAAATGAATATCCTGAAATTAGAAGAGACGACAATGCTGATACTTTTGATGAAAGGAGCAAATATAGTACACCATGTTCTTTGAATAGATTCATGACATCTGCAGTACCTGAAATGGAAAGAAAAGATACATTTAGTTCAAATACATTAGAGAAAACTGATGTGACAGAAAGTAGTGAAAATATTAAAAGAAATGAAGAAGAATTTGAATCATCCATTGATGCTACGTTCAATGAATTTAAAAGGAGAGTCCAAGAATTGAACTATTCCGAGCTCATTGTAGATGATGTTATAGAAGATGATTGTTCAGGAAAGGATAGAGAATTAGAAAAGAAATCTTTGATAAAACAGGAAGAGATTATTATTGAAAGAGAACGCAAGGTTGCAGATAAAGAAAAAGACATGAAACAAAGAGAAGATGCATTGATTGAAATGGAAAGGATGTTATTTGAAAAGATGAATCAACTTGAAAGAGAACATATTAAGAAGGAACAGAAATTGAGTGAAAGGGAAAAGGAAATTACATGTTTCATGAGAAATGCACAAAAGAAAATGGATGAAAGAATAGATAAGTTAGAGTTAGGATATAGAAGAAAGGAGAAAGAATTAGCAGAAAGACAGCTAGAGATAGATAACTTGAAAAGTGAATTGAGAGAACAATACTTTCATAATTCAGACAGAAACACTGAAAGATATACATCAATGAGGTTAAACATCGATGCACAGACCGAGGAAGACATGTATAATAGAGTGGATAGAGAAGGTAGTAAAGATAGAGCATCAGGTTTGGACATCAAATTAAATATAACGCCATTTTCGGGGATTGAACCAGTTCCTAGGAATGAAGCAACATTTGAAGAATGGAAGCTTGAGATTGATTGCGTGAAAACAATATATTCCGAAATGGTTGTTCTTCAAGCGATACGAAAAGCTTTGAGAGGACAAGCTAAAAGGATAATGCTTCATCTTGGACCCTATGCATCTGTAGAAGAGATTGAGAAGAAGTTAGAAGATTCTTTTGGAAATATAGCAAGTAAAGACAGTATCCTTTCACACTTCTTTCTTGCTGAACAAGAAGATAAAGAGTCAATCGTAGAATGGGGACTAAGATTGGAAGAAATGCTCTTACAAGCATCAAGAAAAACCAAAATCGCTGAAAATGAGAAGGAAGAGATGTTAAAGAGAAAGTTTTGGAGAGGATTGAGAAGTGAAGAGTTAAGAAATGCAACTAGAGTTCATTTTGAAAGCAACAATACATACGAACAATTAAGAAAGCAAGTACGGTCAGAAGAGTTTGAGATAAGAGTGCAGAAGGAGAGAAGTGATAAAAGAGAAAAGGTACCAGGAAAAGCCAAACAAGCTGCTATTAATTTACAAGATGAAGAAGGAAAGAATATGATAAAGCTTTTGATAGAGAAGATGGAACAGTTGGATAAGAAAGTTGAAGAGATAAAGAAGGAAAACATGCAAGAAAGGACCAACATAGGTTCATCACAGAGAGGAAATACATATAGACAGTATAGAGGCAGAGGATATAATACTGGAAGATTTAGTAGAGGAAGAGGGATAGAACAGTATAGAAAAGCAGAAGAAGAAACCAAGAAAGATATTACAGACCCGGACAAGACTTTAAACCAGAAAAGTTCTTCATAAATGGAGGTATGAAGAACAAGAAACAAAACCCTCCAAAACAATGTTTTAATATTTTTGGCAGACTAGTTGGACATCCAAATGAAAGCACAGTAACCATCAACAATATAGACACTTCTTGCCTAGTTGATACTGGATCCATGATAACAACTATCTGTGAGAATTTTTACAACAAACTCAACCCTCAACCAGTTTTGCATAGTATCGAAGAGTTCGTTGTTCAAGGACCTGATGGCAATAAACTTACTTACATGGGATATATCGAAGCTGTTGTCAACATTCCTGGAATATTGAATAAAAATATAGAGGTGCCAATTCTTGTTGTCCCAAACACGGAATATAATTTGGATGTGCCTGTGATAGTTGGAACAAATGTGCTCAAGTTTATACAGCATTCTGAAGAAGTACAGCTACCAAATGCTTGGAAATCTGCTGCTTCAGCAATATGTTGCAATCAATTTGTTGGTATTGTATCATCTACAAACAATAGAGATATTCTTGTCCAACCAAAGGAAACCATTGTTTTATCTGGATTTGTCCGAAAAGACAATGCTGTTATATCTGCAGTTACAGAGCAATCAAGCTTAGCATCCAGCAAAATTGGAATTTGTCCTACCTAGAGTTGTTCGGCTTGATAAGCCTGGGTCATCAGCAAGAGTTCCTGTAAAGATCTTTAACATGTCTGCTTCAGCTATAACTATCAGACCAAAATCAGTTCTTTGCGAGTTGAATGAAGTGAAGGTACTACACAATTGGGAGCCAGAGTCAGCAAATTCTTCATCAAAAACTGATAACTCCACAAATCTTCAATTAGATCAGCAAACATTTTTTGAAGCCATCAATCTTAAAATAGATCATCTTGAACTATCAAAACAGCAGCTACTTAAGGATCTTTGTTACAAATGGAAAGATGTTTTCTCTCTCAAGGACCTTTAGATCTCGGAAATACAGATATTGTTAAGCATAACATTAAACTTGTAAATGACCAACCTTTTAAAGAACCATACAGAAGAGTTCCGCCTGCTCTAATAAGTGAAGTCCGTGAGCATCTTTAAGAAATGCTAAGAATGAATGCCATTCGACCTTCTCACAGTCCTTTTTCCTCCAATGTTGTAATTGTTAGGAAGAAAGATGGATCAATACGCTTCTGTATTGACTACAGAAAACTTAATAACCGCACTCATAAAGATGCTTACGCAATTCCACGGATTGATGACACTTTTCATTTATTATCTGGCGCTAAATACTTCTCCAAACTTGATCTCAAAGCAGGTTATTGGCAGGTGGAGATGAACGAAGCCGATAAGGAGAAAACGGCCTTCCAAGTCGGTAATCTCGGATTCTTTGAATGTAACCGGATGCCGTTTGGTCTCTGCAACGCTCCGGCGACATTCCAGAGACTGATGGAACGTTGCATGGGAGACATGAACCTCAAAGAATGCTTGATTTACCTTGATGACATCATCATCTTTTCTGCATCTTTTTCGGACCATCTTCAACGTCTGGAAGCTGTCTTCTGCCGCTTGAAGGAACACAACCTGAAATTAAAAGGATCAAAATGTGAATTTCTGAAAAAAGAAACTACTTACCTTGGTCACGTCGTGTCCGATGAAGGCATCAAAGCAGATCCGGATAAAATTGATGCAGTCCGCAAATGGCCAATCCCTAAGAATCCAAAGGAAGTCAGAAGTTTTCTTGGGTTTGCAGGATATTTCCGGAAGTTTGTTCCGAAGTTTGCAAGTATTGTCCGACCACTCAATGACCTTCTTGTTGGTGCTTTCACAGACAAAGGCAAGAAAGTTGTCAAACGAGTTCCTTTTGAATGGAAAACATGTCATCAGCAAGCCTTCGACACCATAATAAGTATGTTAACTTCAGCACCAGTCTTAGCATACGCTGACTATTCAAAACCATTTATTTTGCATACGGATGCTGCAATAACCGGATTAGGGGCAGTGCTTCTTCAAAGACAGGATGATGGATCGGAACGACCAATTGCATACGCCAGCAGGAGTCTGAAGATCTCGGAAAGAAACTACCATTCAAGTAGGCTTGAATTTCTCGCTCTTAAATGGGCAGTCACTGAGAAATTTCACGACTACTTGTATGGAGCCAAATTCGAGGTGCTTACAGACAATAATCCATTGACATACATCAAAACCACTGCCAAACTTGATGCTACTGGTCAGCGTTGGGAAGCTGCACTTGCCAACTACGACTACAGTATAACATATCGCAGTGGCAAGACAAACACAGATGCCGATGCATTATCCCGGCAGAATTCATTAGAAACAACTGCTGCTATTCCTGAAACAACTCATATTGAGAAGGAAGTTGTCAAGGCAATGCTTAACCAGAATAATTGCTCAGCACCATTTATTCTTGACCAAGCTAACAAGACAGATAGTGAAATTTGTCAGGATTACAAGTCTGACAATGATTCACTTCCAACTTTACAAACTCATAATTGGTTAGCAGAACAAAATACGGACCCAATCATTTCTTTGGTAAAGTCAGTCGTCTCACTTGGCAATCGTCCCACTGAACTACAAATGAAGGATTATCCAATTATGACGAGGAAATACCTTCGAAATTGGAAGAAGTTATTTCTTCGCGACGGTATTCTCTTTCATCGAACCATGATTAGAGGAGAGATTATGGAGCAAATTGTACTCCCAGAATCTGCCAAAAGAAATATATTTAAAATCCTTCATTCTGATATGGGCCATCAGGGAAGAGACCGTACAACAAGTTTGTTTAAAGAGAGGTTCTATTGGCCGGGTATGGACGCTGACATTTCGTTGTGGGTGAGTCAGTGTGATAGGTGCATTCGTCGTAAGATACCACCTACTTTAGCGACGGGGTTGGTGAACATCTGTTCTTCGGCGCCGATGGAGTTGGTGTCCATTGACTACCTTTCGCTCGAGGTATCTAAGGGCGGCATAGAGAATGTTCTTGTCATCATGGACCACTTCACTCGCTTTGCTCAGGCCATACCAACAAGGAACCAGACTGCTAGAACTACAGCTAAAGCTCTCTTTGACAATTTCTTTGTTTACTACGGATTTCCCGAAAAACTCCATTCAGATCAAGGCCAGAATTACCTCTCAAAGGTGATTAAGAGACTTTGTAGGATTGCCGGCATAAGAAGGTCAAGGACGACACCATACCACCCACAATCAAACGGACAAGTGGAGCGTTTTAACCAAACACTTCTTCAGATGTTAGGAACGCTTACCGATGACAGGAAGAAAGATTGGAAAACAGCCATACCTTCACTTGTCCATGCATATAATGCCACTCGTCATGAGAGCACTGGTTATGCACCTTACCAGCTGATGTTTGGTAGACCACCCAGATTAGCAATCGATGCATTCCTTGGTCTCAAACGTCAACATATCAGCGGAACTTCTCCATCTGATTATATGCAGAAGCTAGAGCAGCAGCTTTGCGACGCATACCAAAGGGCTAACGATGCAGCGACGAGAAGTGGAAAACGGGGCAAGAAATACTACGATCAAAAGGTCAAAGAATGCAAACTCATACCTGGAGATCGTGTTCTGGTCAGAAATGTTGGACTCAAGGGAAAACAAAAACTTGCCAATGTTTGGGAAGAAGTACCTTATATCATTCAAAAACAGCCAAATGATGATCTGCCAGTATTTGCTGTTAAAAGGGAAGATGGTGAAGGCAAAACACGTGTTCTTCATAGAAACATGTTGTTACCATTTACCAGCTTGCCGACTCCTATCTCTGACCACACTGATGAAAGTTCATCTGAACCTGAAAAAGATAATGGTGATAAAATTAATTCTGTTTCCTCTGATTCTTTTTCAGATTGTAGCAGCTGTTCATCCTCCACAGACAGATATCGACCTCCGCACAGACGAGGACCAAATGAACCCGGACTTCTTCCTCGTAGAACACGGCAGAAACCAGGTTGGATGACCTCGGGAGATTTCATGTTAGGTCAACATACGTTTACCGTACCACGGGACCGCGTTGTTCTTCTATAGATATCAGCCAACACCTATCATGATAATACCATGACTTGAAACAATATCCTGATACTCATATTGTAGATTTATAAAGTTTCTAATACATGCTATCTTACAAGAGCAATCTTATGTCAGTTGTGTAACTTCATTTATATAATGTTGTTATTGCTTTAATTGAATTGAGTGTTACATGTATATTATAAATTCATTTGTAATATTGTCCATAATATTTGAATAAAAACAACGATAACACTTGATAGCATTGAACTTGTCTCTACAATATTCATGTCACCTTTATTTATGGGTAATATATCGGACGCGCGAATTTGTAATAAACGCATTGTATCTACCTCGTTGCTATATTTTCACTGGTAATGTCGAGGACGACATTTTTAAAGGAGGGTAATGTGTTACAGGTGCTTCAATTACTATAGATAATATAAATAAAATCCTGAAACAGTATTTTGTCTTGTATTTGATTTTTCCCTCAAATATATTATCCAATCATTAAAGCATCTTTGTAGCCGTAACTAGACTATGTAGTTGTAGGCCGTAGCATAGTATGTAGGATGCCGTTTCAGGTAACTTTCTATTTATCTATCTCTCTAACTGTGCACTTTACACCTTCTTCTATTGTTATGCTAAATATTTGACTGTATTGACCAATCGCAATGTACAATATCGATGAGACTACCATGTTATCATTGAATTGTATATTCGATTGAGATATACATTTAAATAATTGCAAATTACATATTGTTATTTATATATTTCCCGAGTATTTTTATAGCATTTTGTTTGATATGCATGTTTCTACAATACTGTATGTTTATAATGTAAATCTGTTTTGAAAACAATGCTTTTCAAGATGTTTTTCTGTGCGTTTCTGTGTAAACTATATACGTTGCCATATTTGTTTATTGTTACATGAACAATATCAATGAGACTACCGTGTAATCATTGTATTGTTTATTAGATCGGAAAATACATTTGAATAATTGCAAA